GCGTCCAAAAAAATGGTCGTTTGTTGCGTAACTTGAGCCGTATTTCGAAATGGATGAATACAACGTGAACTGCCCTTCGCTCGAGTTCGCATTTCGCGGGCGTGGTCGTGGAGTCCTATATCAATTCTTTCCATCCAACGTTCTACCACTCTCTATTTCTCTCTCTTTCTTTCTCTCACTTCGTATTTTCCATCTCACAACTTTTATCTATGCGATCGTCGATAGGAAATCATTCCTATCAATTCAAAAGTCGACGTATTAATTACGTTCATTGACGAGAAAGGAAGAACCCAAAAAAAAAAAAACAGAAAAAAAAGGATAAAAAAATTCGCAAGTATTTGAATGCGAGGAAAAAGATTTGTTCGTAACGTCCCGGGAGAATTCAACGAGACTATAAAAAGAAAAAGGCGAAACGAGTTACTCTTTCTCTACGGTCCTACCGATCGATCGGAAAAGCAGCACCGGTGGTCGGTCGGTCGTCCGGGTAAAACAGCGAAGCTCGTTCGAACGGAGCTTTCGATCCTAAAGGAGCACGTTCATTGGTGTATCGAGAGTGCAACGATACTCGATCGCGGGACTTGATAAAAATTCGTGGACCAAGGCGGGAGTTTTTAGCGTTGGAACATCGACAAAGGACTACCCCTTCTCCCTTTCCCTCTTTTCCTTTCCCTTTCCCACTCTCACTCTCTCTCTCTCTTTATCCACGAGTGACGCCCTGTAATTTTCGATCCTGACGAGGTATATACTAGTAGGGTAGAAAGCGTGCCGAGGGTGCTCTGCTCGTATCGGTGGTAGTGGATTTTACGTGGGTAGAATCTTCGTGAACGCATCTAACCCCCCCGGTTAACTTTAGAGCAAGAGAGAAAGAGGTAGTAGGGAGAGTAGAGAGTGCAACGAGCATGCGCAGCCTGAAACCGAAAGTGCACGCCCATCCGGGCAATGACGGCCCTGAACCTAGACCTACACCCCCGCTTTCAGCGTCCCACGGTCAATCCTGTGTCCCCAACCTTCAAAGCTCACCCAACCCTTACTCCCAGCAGCAGCAGCAGCAGCCTACCTACCTCCTACCTCGTCTCATTATATACCTTGTGCTGCCGCGGTAGCGCCACCATTCTCTTCCTATCGACTTTCTTTCTCTCTTCCTTGCATTAACCCATACATTGTCTTGCCATACTATCCGACTACGTGTGTTCCTTGATCTTATACAATATTTTTACTAAACTACTATATTTACTAGTCAATTTTTTCAATATATATATATTTCAAAGTTGGGGAACATCATCGGGTTGTGCTCACTTTTTAACTTTATCCATCTTTCGCGATGCGATACTTTTTTCCTCCCTTGCGTGTCCTGGACTGCGAAATGAAAATTTCAACGAGCGATAAGAACTCCTTTCTTTGTTCCTATGTTATTCCCTTTGAGAATTTGATACGCATAAGATCTCTCTCAATGAGAAAAGAACTTTCAATAAAACAAAAATACGAACACTAAAGCATTCAACTTTGTACGGTTGCATACGAATTTATAAATACATATATATGCGACGCTGCATCCCTTTATTCTTATTAAATCAGATGCGTTACCTTTTCTTGAACCTTCTTTCGTAACTTCCCCTTTATTTCCCCCCCCCGCTCCTCTCTCCGTTAAAGAATGCGAATTTTTTGTTAAGTCGAACAGCGGTGCTCCTCCTTAAGCGCGAAACGGGACGGACCGTGTTCCTTTTCAGTGACATCTGGTTCTCCCGTGGCCCGAAGCCTCTCTCTCTCTCTCTCTCTCTCTCTTTCTCTCTCTCTTCTCGTTTCTTCTCTTCCATCTTTATTCTCCATCTTCTATCCTTTTCTCTTCCAACGGTGGCCATTATATACCGGCTAAAGCCTCATTCATGGTCACCGTTCTAGAAACCCGAGCCGATCAAAACAACTTTTTCATAGGGAGCCCTCCTCTCGAGGACGATGGATTATCCTTCCTCTCTCTTTCCTTCTCTTTTCTCGTACGGTGCCCTGATTTTACGTTCCCTTCTCCCGTTATGCGTTTCCGTCGCAACCTTCGTGCTGGTACCCGATAGAAAATGAACTAAATAAGGGAGAAAGAAAATCCGTACGCACGCACGTACGTACCTAGGACCCAAAATTTTGTTCTCCCCCGTTTTACCAACAACTAACGTTCGAACTTCTCACCCCTCTACCCCTCCTGCCTATTCCCCGTTATCCCTCTCGTACAATATTTACACGTTTCGATAAACAGCAGGATCCTTTGTGACGAACGAATCAAATTCGTCGCCGACTGCGTCTTATGTACCCACTCTCGACCGCCCTATAAATCTCAATTTTTGATTCTGTTATTCATCAACGACAAGTTTCGTCTGTGTGTAAAAGGAAACGCGCGAGCATATATATAATGTATTTTCATGAGATAGAGAGAGAAAAAGAAAAATAATAAAAAGGAGAAAAAGAGGGGGGTCACGGTTGACGGGAGTGGACGATTTGCGGCCGATACGTCACGTAAAAATGTTTCTAAAGTTCGCACGCGCTTTTTTTTCCATCTTCTTTTATTTTTTTTTTTTTTTTTCCTATCGTTCCCAAGTTCCTTGAAATTTATCGATTAGATCGTAAAACTTTGAGGACCCTTCCCACTCTTATGTGTATCTCTTACATAGACCTCTGGGTTCCCCTTAATAGAATTGACGGGAACGTAAAAGATGGTACTGTGTAAGGACTATTTAAATAATCGCGTTATTTCGTGTCGTATATTTTAAATATTAATGTAAGTATAAAAAGGGTATATAGAAAAAGAAATACATATTATTATGATTTATCATGATAATTTTACAGATATGACGGCATATGAATGTTTAATAATTATTGTTATTTTTATCGATATTGAAATCGTTGTAATATTGTGATCAAAATAATTGAATGTTACACAGTTATTTTTTAGGATCATTATTAATATATATTATTTTTTGAGATTAAGTATACTTCTAATGAGACCGATCAACATCGATGATTTAAATATTGTATTACAGTGCTGTTAGTTCTATGATATAGAATTTTGTTGAAAAGTCATTAATTGTAAATAATATTTATCACATTCCTCATTTTATATTAACACAATTCCGAGTTTCTTCCAATCCATCACGCAATGACGTATTATCATAAAACATTTGGTTAACAAGTATAACCCTTATCTCTCTGTCACCAAGTATTCTACCCTTTCAATCGATTGCAAAAAAAATCATAAGAAAATATTGCAGAATTTTCTAATAAAGAAAATATATTTTCCAGAATGAATTATTTATTCGTTAATAACAAATTACTATAAAACTGTACCAACCCAAGATATAATTTATCTGATATCTTTAATCACATCTTTAAGATGATCGTAGTAAAATATATTTTTATAGTTCTTAATTACTAAAATAAACAAAGCCTTAAATAATATTTCGGACACTAACGATTAGTTAATCTTTCAGATTATAATTATTATTTAAATAAAAAAAAAATTATTAAACATTAGGAAAAAAGATGTTTGTATCTTTGATCAAACTGAAATGTGTTCCAGGTGCTATTTTTATCGAAACGCGCATACGACTTTCTCATTTTTATGCCACTCGGAGAGAGAAAAGAAGAGAAAGAAAGAGGGGAGAGAAAGAAAAAGAGAGAGACGAAGAGAATTGGGCGGTTTCGTGTTACGTAACAGCTTTATGTTCCACCGATAAAGTTATGTAATGTAATCTAATACGTATTTCGTGTCGTTTCTTTGTCGGCGACAGCGGCATATAGGAAAGCATATCGAACTTGACGCGTAGTACACATTTTTTCATCTTCGATCGGTATGCTTGTATTTGATTTGAAATTAGTACTCGATTACAATACACATCGCGTTAACAAAATAAGCACGTTTACAAAGAAATCTTAATCGTTGAAATGAAATTGTGTGTTGTCAGTTGTTCGTTTATTTTACGTTACTGCAATTCAAAGCTTTCTCAAAATGTACGTTTAAACGAGATGAAAAATATTGATAAGATCCTGTTACAATGTAACATTCAAAATAATAGAGTCAAATTTAATAAGCATAAATAAGTTATATGTGAATTATATGCGTGTTAACTTTTGTTTAATTTGGCTCTACGATGTTTTTCTTTTCTTTTACGATTACGGAACGTTTAAAAAAATAATTGATAAGTATGTGCTTCTTATTATCAAATAAGTTATCCACCCGCATCTGATTATAATGGATTTCAAACGATCTTGCGAAAAATTCGAAATTCGTACAATGATGTTTAATTAAATTAGAGTTTACTCATAGCATGACGCGGCGCTGATATAAGAAAAGCCAAAATAAAGAAAGGAATAAAGAAAGAAATAAAGAAAGAAATAAAGAAAGAAAGAAAGAAAGAAAACGATCGATCCGAGTATATCCGGCGACCGTTGTTCAGTACGATGTTTGTGCTCTATTGGTGAGAACTAAAACGAGAATTTCTCAGAAGTAACGTAACTAATCGACTAAATAACGTATATAAATAAAATAGTGATTAATGATTTCGAGGGCTCGATTGAGTGTGTGCGTTCTCGGAAAGCTTGTATATTCCTTTCACTAATTTAGAAAACGAATGGGAGACTGTTTTAATGGGAATTTGGTATGCTGATAAGAATTAGAAATAATCGTGATAATTTCCGTTTCAACTGGAAAAACCAACATTTTCTTTATCTATTTTCATTCACTTTTTTGTTTCTATACATTTATATAAAATCATCAACGAAAATATAATAATTATTATTATTATTTTACGTTACGTTATATAATTATATTAAAGATTATAAAATGAAATTATATATCTTCAGTCAATCTTCTTATTTTATTGTGTTGACTATAAAGCTTATCATTTCGTTCGATGTATCGATAAATCGGATATGTATACATGTAAGTAAGTATTATTTGCTTGCTTGGTTGCAACTTAATCCAATCTGTGAATTTCTTCCTTATAAGCTCACAATCAGGAAAAAAGAAATATTCGATAATGCTTCCTTTCGAGAAGAAGTTTTAGATTATGATAGATATTTTCTCGTGAATGAGTCTATATGTAAATACGATTATGGTTTCTTTCCATTTTGGTATAGTATATGCATGAGTTCTTTATAAAATACGTATGATTCACACGTTTATTAAAAGCCGTTCGCATATCAGTGAAAAAAACTGGAAAACGAATCTATCAGTTTGGCATAATTCAAACACGAGTCACGTGTATTAAATATCATCGAGTTTAAGAAATCATCGATATGCTCATAAATTTATTTGTTTAATAAATAAAAAGCTGGATCCAATTCAAATGTAAATAAAATGACCCCCAATCGTAATAATTAAAATAGTAAATACAAGTGTTAAGATGAATTGATGATATTTGAAGGAAATAATTGAGAGTTCTTAAAAAGAAAAAAACGATATAAAAATTAAGGAAATATTAGGAAAAATAAATCTCCCTGAAAGATCAATGAGTATTATTTATATATTTATGGTAGTTTATAGTTGCAAAAACGACATTAGAATATTAGGAAAGCATAAACACGTGGCGCAACATCAAACATTGTTCGTTCTAAACCTATGAATTGAAATCGTGCAAACCGATAGGTAGTTTCCGAAGAAATCTAATTCTAGATAATGGGACGAACTAAACAAAGTAAGAAGTATCACGAAATTGACGTAATCGAAAGAGTCCTCTCGTGTCCAGAACAATCGAATAGACGAAAACTTCGTGATATTCAGCACGTACGCATTCAATAAATTCCTAGAATAACGATGTTGGTTAATTAGTTGAAAAAATAACAAAAAAAAACCGTACGACGAAAATGGTTTTTATTGCTTTTATTTTTGTTTTTTTTCTTTTACGTCTTTGTCTCTTATGGTGTTTATTTTCCATCTTATATGCTACGAAGTAGATGTTCAAAACTTTATCGACGCATAAAATTCTGACATAAGAGTTTCGTTATTCTTACGTAAATAAACAAATCCATACAAAAACACAACGTTTTCTCTTTGAAGACATTTTTTCTTCCGAGTTTTGACTCTCTCTCTCCCATGTCAGATTAGTTCGAGCGATACAAAACATTACAACGTTCCTCTCTCTCTCTCTCTCTCTCTCTCTGCTAATTTTCCTCATCACTCGACGAAGGTTTCGTCAATTATAAATTTCTATAGAGAATCTCACGATAGGAAATGAACGTTTATCCGACAAGAAATTCAAGCTGGATTAGAAAAGAACAAAAAATTTGTTTCAACGTAATGCAGTATTGTTTTTGAACGTATCCACCCGAAACGAAAAAAAAATCCAATTGTTTTAAGAGACTAACCTGACTAATATACACATGCATATACTATACTATTAACGAAACAATGGTTTCATGTAACACGCGTTCGTGTCAATAACGTCTGTAAAGTTACTAATAACAACAAAAAAATCAATAGGAAAAATAAAAAGAAAGAGAACAAAAATGATCTCTAGACTTGCAAAAAGGAGAGTATTGTCAAAAACGTATAGGTGATACAACAAGAGAAAAGACGGGATTACCTTTATACAATTTCCGTGTAACTCCATGAGCATGAAAGAGAGAGAAAGAGAAAGAGAAAGAGAAAGAGAAAGAAAGAGAGAAATAGGTGGCTGAGAATCGCGTGTGACGCGCACGAGCGCGTAGCACGCACACGCTCGTCGCGGATTATTCGTATAGTAGGGCTGTCGTGAAAAGTAAAACGCGTCGGACTCTTGGTAGGATGCGATGTTACACACATATGTATTTACACACACACACAACGCGCGCGTTTCGCTCGCGCGCATTCACGGGTAGACGGCGAGAGGGTGGGTGGAAGGCAGAGGGTGAAGGAGAAGCTGCACAGCTCGCTCACGAGACGAAGCGAGACGATTTGATCGGTAAACGCGTGGAAGAGAGAGAGAGAGAGAAGGATGGGCGCCGAGCCGGCCGGGGGACGAGAACGGCGGGCATCGATTGGCGCGCTAGCCGTGACCCCCACCATGCCGCTTTCGCTTTCACCCAATGAGGCCTCACTTTCGCGCTCGCCCGCGCTTCGAGCCACGGCAGCCGGCACGCTGTCGTCGCCGGTACTCTCAGTGATTCTGGTGCACCCTAACGTGCGAGCGGACGTGCGACCGAACGTGCGAGAGTACGTGCGGTTTTTTTTTAAAAACTCTCGTCATCATTTCTCTGAGCTACGCACAAGATAGATAGATAGAGAGAGAGAGAGAGATAAAGACAAATAAAAAGACATAAGAAGTAACGAAAAAAAAAAAAACACATAATATAGAGACTTATCATTACGTTGGTGGTGATTTTCTATCAGAAGTTTTGCTCGACGATGATATCCGTCGAAGGCGCGAAAAATTGATTTGAAAGTGTGGGTGGTAGAGAAAGAAAAATTTATCCTTTGGAAATTGCGTTTTATCGAACGTCGCGCGCGCCCCTCACCGGTGACCCTGACACTCGGACACACCGGGCACATACGGCGCGCACGTCGTCTCTTGTACTCTGCAGCAGGCGGGAGAAGAACAAGAGGAGGAAGAAGAAAAGGAAGAAGAGAGAAGACAGAAACAGCAGCAGCAGCAACATCGAGGCGGCCACCAGTCAGACAGTCAGTCAGTCAGCCAGCCAGCCAGCCAGTTCCGATCACACGTTCCATGGTACGCGATCATTGTGAGAAACTTGTCCAACGGTGTTCCTTGTCATATTCGATCGAGCCAATCATAGGACAAACATACATAAAGTAATTCGTTTTAAATCTAATCTGAAGTTAGTGCATTTAATAATCGAGAAAAAGCATTTAAATATTAAAGTACGCGTAGCGTCCACTCGTTTCAACGGTGTCGCCTCGATCGAGTTGACCTTGACTTTGATTCTTCGTCGATCTTCGCGATCTCGTTCTGCTGAATTGGTCGAGCCGAGTCGACTCGTATACCGGTTTATGGGGGTGGATGAAATATCCCTGTTTTCGAGTTCTCTAACTTCTAAATAACATTCCAAAAGTTGACGCGCGTGCTTGTAAGCCGGTCGGAAGGAGAAGAAAGAGACCACGTGACACTCATCCTACTTCTCGAACGTAGAAACGCGAAACGGGCGGGAAAATGACTGAGTGATCCAAACGTCGATTACTCGAATGTTTTATAATATCGATACGTCGTGTTTTTCAACGTCGTTGTTTGACGATAAGAATCAAATAAAACAGGGTAAAATTTAGGACGAAGGAAGGTATTGGAATTAGAGGGAGGAAGAAAAGAAGAAAAAGAAAGAGAGAGAGAGAGAGAGAGAGTGAGGGAGACAGCAGGCAGACAGGGAGACAGGAAGACAGGAAAATCAAGAAAAACGGCTGCCACGGCTTTCGAGATCGGTTGTTTAAGAGCCATGGCCCCTCGGCGCCACGGCAATGGTCACGCTGCTGGTGGCGGTGGCCTCGTAGACAACAACAACGGCGGCATAGGTGCGCCCGGAAGTAACGACGCCGTTCAAATGGAGAACAATTTGGTTATTGGTCAGAACAACAACAATAACAACAACAATAATAATAATAACAATAATATCAACAACGGTATTAACAATCAAGGTACTACTCGTTGTTGCACCCCGACAGGGGAATGCTTGCGCAGTGATTCTCTGATACGAATGAATGCCCTGCACGACGCGGTTAAGGTCATTTGCAATAACGAGAACTGCCCGGTTGGACAGTTCATGCATCGCGAGTGTTTCGATGCGTGGGAGCAAACGATCCTGACCTATCTTAAAAGCTGCGGACGCGCAAGAAGCTGGTCCGAGAGACAACGTCATCAAAATCTCTGGACGAAGAAAGGCTACGATCTTGCATTTAAAGCCTGCGGATGCCGGTGCGGACGTGGCCATCTTAAGAAAGACCTCGACTGGATGCCACCGGGCTTAGGTAACGCTCCGGGCAATCGTCACGACGAGAACGAAGCTAAGAAGAAAAAACGACGCAATCGGCAAAACACTCGGCCGACTTTAGCCGTATCGGCCGGTCCACCCAATCACTCAAGTCACGTAGTTTCTGCGAACGGACGTGGCACCACCGAAGCACAACTCATCGAATCCGGACGCGGCAGGGCCGGTTCTCTTTCATCGAGCACCGGTTCGAGTTCACCACCGGCCACCAGCGAGCCCAGTGTCAGTCCTCTTCATCAACCCCAGGCCATCGTCAAGAAGAAGAGTAAGATTGACTTTTTTGCCGATCGAGCAAGGTTAGTAGTATTAACAAATAAATTATCAATACCGGTTGTGAAGTACTACGATACCAATTAACATTTGCAACAAGTAATTTTGTTATACAATTTTTTTGTTTAACATTGTTTTCGAATGTCTTCTTATCCTTCTTTTTTGCTTCATATTCATGCCCCTATTTTTTTTAATAAGAAAATCTTGCGTTGTCCGATTATCAACAAATCAAGAAAAATTATAATAATATAATAACACATTTATTACTTATTGTCGTTTGAAATTCTTCGCCGCTGAATGAAAATATTTTCTTTGTTTCGTTCTTTTCATACAGCAATTTGTACGCCGCGTGTTATTGTATTGTTCAAGTAGCAGCAATGGTTTCTTTCATGCTAAAACGTACTTTCCTTTTCGAGATGCTTTTTTATTTTCCTCTCTTTCTTTTTTTTTCTTTTTTTCTTAAGTTTTCTTAAAACATATGTAATATTCTTTGAAGAGGGTATTCGTATATTATCCAGCAACAGTAACAGCAGCAGCAGTAACAGCGTACTTGGCGATATCCTTGTAAAGGAGGCAGCGCGGCTCCTCCTATCGCTTCGGATCTTCTCGGAAACGTTAACGGGAGAAACGGAGTAGAGGAGAGAGATTACCTCTTATAAACGTAACCCGATATATCCCTGAGGATCACTCTCTGTTAGCTTGAAATTTCGATCTCTCTCTCTCTCTTCCACTTCCACTCCTATTCTAGGATAGAATTTCGATAGAAGGAAGATAGGTAGAAGTCTCTTTGATTTAAGACGATTGGTCTCCGTTTAACCTAGAAAAAGAAACATCAGAACGCGATCGTTCCGTTCAAATCGTTTGGGGGGGGGGTTTCATTGGAAGTCAGGAGGAATAAAAGAAAGATAGAGAAAGAAGAGAGGGAGAGAAAGGAAATAAAGATTCTTTTCTACTTCGTTTCGAAGAACAAAAGAGCACTTGTGTAAGGAGAAGGAAAGCGGAAGTTCTTTTCTTTCCCCTTCTCATTGAAGAACTTTCCAGACGAGCTTTTCCGAGAGGCTTGAATGAAATTGCGAGTTCGTTTTGCGAAACGAAAGGAAAAGAAGAGAGAAAAAAAGTATATGTGTGTGTGTGTGTGAGAGAGAGAGAAAGAGAGAAAAAAAAACACATAAGGAGAAAATATATATCGGCTATATGTGTATAATCATATGTCGTTTTTCGAAGGGTGAAAAGACGAAGGGTAGGAAAGACGAAGAAGATTACGTTGTCTCGTCCTACCCAGGGCGGGCGTGTATGTGCGCGCGTTTCAGGCATATTCGAAGCATCCTACTATTTTTAGATTCCGGCTTGGAAACTTGTCCTATTTTTGTTGGTAGTTTCTATCGAATCGTGTTTAGACGAAGAAAGTAACGAAGAAGATCTTTAAAGCACACATAGAACAATTTCTTTTTCTATCTGCCGTTTACGTTATCGTCAAGATTTTCTTTTTAGTAGAATATAATAATAATAATAATAATATTATTCGAAAGATTTGTTTGTTCGATTATCTTAGGATTGTGTTTTTATTTTTTCAATTCATCATTAATCCACTTAATATCTGATTGATTAGTTTTATAACAATATCGTTGATTCGAATTATTTATGCACCCTAAAAACGTACACACACATATATATTGTATATCTATTACAATCTGCCACTGTTACTGATATCATTTCTATTTGCAAGTTTGGTCTCGTGTTGCGATTAAAAAAGTGCGCACGTTCGCGCAAACGAAATAGGAGCCGTTTTCGTTTTCAGCTCAAACAGAGCGACACAAAACCGAATAATCATACAACGTTCCTCGAGTTCTTAAAACAACCATCGACATTTACCGAGAATCTTCTCAATTTTTTTCTTTTCTTTTTTTTTTTTTTGTTCTTCCTTGCATTTGAGCGTGTGCATCTGAACGAAGATATAGAGAGAAGAAGAAGAAGAAGAAGAAGAAGTGGTGAAGAAGAAAAGATAAGAAGGGAGAGGGAATAGAAAAGGAAGAGAAAAAGTTGCAGGAAAGAGATAGAGTGAGAGAGAGAGAGAAATGTTTGTGGCCTTGACCGTGGCCACCTCTTCAGGGCCACCAAGTAAAGGAGGAGCCCGATGCTCTAGCAGTTCTTCAAGGCCAACTGCATTGAATCACGGCACCACGATGCATTTAAAGAGGCAGAACGACGAAGAGAGAATACGTTTAAAAATTCGTACACGTTGTTTTTTCTTTTTTCATCACTCTCCCTTTTTATTTTTCAAAGGGAAGAGGGGAGGAACTATCTATACTGATTTTACTTTTGTATTTTTGATTTTGTATCAATTTAAAATATATGAAATATTCGCGAATTTAAACGGATTATAATTCGACTTTTGAAATTTTGTTTAATTTTATTATCGAACCGATTGATCGCGAAACTCCAACTTCTTTTTATATTTAATGTAAGACAAATTTTCTTTCTCTATTACTATTTTATAATTGCTCGGTAACAAATGATAAAATCATGCATTTTATTTCATCAATCTTTCTTTTTTTTCTTTTTATTTCTGCAGAGTTAATCGTTTTGGTATATAAAAGACTCTTAAATATATCGATTATGATAAACAATTTGTTTTTCATCCTTTTAATTATACGATATTATAAATAAAAATATCTTTCTCGATTTAATTTACATTTTTCAATCCCGTCCGACCGTAAAAAAGTTTTCTTTTTGTTTTTGTTTTTTTTCTTTTTTTTTTTTTAAAAAGATGTTACTGTTACGTAACCCCTCTCTCATCTTTAGGAAACGCCAATGTTTCCTTTTATTTTCAATCTAACGACGTGTCGGTGGGAGAACAACGGGCTCGTAAAATTTCAAGGAGTTGTCCCTTTGTTTCTTTCTCTCTCTCTTTCTTCTCTTCTATTTCGCTCTCTCTCTCTCTCTCTCTCTCTCTCTCCCTCTCACTTTCTCTTTCTTATATTCTCTACTTCCTTATCCCAGCCCTATGTCTCGCGACACATTCCTCCTCCTTTATGGGCTTCAATTAAAAGGAGGAGCTTCCTCCGAACTGCGCATTATCCTAAATCTTTCGGGTGGTGGTTGTCGAGAAGGGGGTCCACCATCACCATCACCATCACCACTACCACCATTCCAACGACACACAATGACTACGATGAAGATGGTATGGTGGCACGCCTTGTTCCGTTGAGGGATCGAGAGGGATAACAACGAGGATGTCGATTACCAATTCTAAATATCGTTGTACGTAACTGCGAAGGCACAAACGGCAGCAGCAGCAGTAGCAGCAAGCCAAGGGTGGTTGCTGCTTACTCGTTGTTACTAAAGCAACTTTTTTTTCTATTTTGTTTCTTTTGTTTCTTTTTCAGTTCTAAACGTCTTCTTCCTAACGTTATTTTTAGAGAAGAAATCATGACTTCTTTTATTTTCCTTTTATCTTATCTTAAAATATATTTCATTTACGAGTTTTTCGTATGGTCGAACTGTATTTCTATAATTTTGTTCTATTTATATTGCAATTGTTGATAATAATTATATTTTTAACCAATCATGCGAGGTTATTTTTTTTCTTTTTTTTTATCGATAAAATTTAAAAGAATCATTTTTGTATCATGTTTATTTTCTTCGAAAAGTAATTTCGAACTTTTGCGTTGTTACTGTTTTAATATTCCTTTTTTTTTTTTTTTTTTCTTTTTCCTTTAGGAATTTCCTGTTCGGATAAACAAGCCCGAGCATTTAGCCGGTAGCGATAAGAAATTATCTTACCTAGTCACCTTCATGTTAGACAAATCGCAGTTTCACACGCGAGATAAATGTCGGTATTTCTAAGAAACAAATGTTATCATTTTTTTTTTTTTTTAAGGTATCTTTCTTAACCAAGAAGTAACACAATGACTGTAGAAACTTGTTCATGTATTTTTCGGGAAATATTTTATGCATTCGTTTATCTGTTTTTTTGTTTCCTCTCCCTTTCATAAATGGATTCACATCACGAAGCTTTTCGTTTTAATTTAATTGCATTCGGTGCATTCGTCTCTGATTTGTCGAGTTTATTAATTTTTCAATCTATTTCAAATATCAAAAATTTAATTTATTTTATAAAAACAAAAAAAAAAAGAGGTAAAATATGTTTTCAACACTCGAACACTCTTTTTATTATTTATTTTTATAGGAACACATGAAGATTTTTAACAATAATTACAACGAGACTCACGAGATCTTTAATTATATTATATATATATTTTTTTTGCATAATATTGTTGAGCAAGAGCCATGAGCTGTTTAAGTAAGAGTTTGTAGCTTTAACCGGTATAGTAATTATCACTTTCTTCGTCTCTTCATTATCGATCGTTTACAGTAAAGGTAAATGATCGTTACGTGTTATTCAATTGTGTTCAGTGTGATCAATCGATCGATCGATAATTCCTACCTCAAACATGGGAATTAACGCGTTGCGAGAACTCTTCGATGATCTTTACAATAATTGTTTATTCTCTTTTTTTTTTTTTTTTTTTCATATATTTTTCCTACAAATTCATAAAAAATATACCGACGAAAATGTCAAGGCAGATTACTCAACATACGAATTATTCGAAATTTTATACGTTGGTTTTATGTAATACGGTAATACAATGATATTATGGTTGAACTAATGATAATTTTGATCAAATCTTTTGAGATATATTTGTAATATTTTATTATTAAGTTTTTTGTATCTACGCCAATATTGAGGAAATATTCTATGCTCAAAAATAAGACACACAATAATGTGTTATATAAAAATAAATCATTTTAAAAGGCTTTGTTCAAAAGTTACAACAACAATTTTCAAAATATCTCAATGTATTGTATTGAAAATATTGCCCTCGCTTACAAGAATACAAGTTTGATGCACGTGTCGTTACCATGCTTTATTCTGACACGACGAATTTCTTCTTGCTTTCTATTAATTTCTACAACTGCATCCACATAATTCGTTCTACAATAACATCAAATATAACTATAACAG